TGCCAGTTCGGTAATGGGAAATATATGTCATTTGTATAATGTGCGATAAGATGCAAGGGGTGAAATCAGCTATTAACACTAATTAACTCAAAAGCTGACCACCAGCACACCAGCACTCTTTAGTGACAGGCTTTGTCTGCTTGGCCTAACAAGAAACAAATACCATTATAGCAGACCAAATTACCTTATTTAGGCAATCGTCAGATAATAGAGACGCTCTAGGTATTAACCTAACTGCATTAGTTTGATTTGTTAGGACTGTTCACCTTGTCCTGGGCATTAATGGAGACAAAGACCTGGAATTACCAGGAGCAGAGATAAGCTGTGGATTAGAGCCTGTGTTTTTTGAGGGAAAGAGAATTCTATCTTGAGTTTTCATTTCCATTTCCATCTTGCTTGGGTTTTCCTCAGATTTAAAGTTCAGTTTTTTTTTTTTCCTTCTGCATATCATTACATTATCTTCAAATTGCTAGCAATCATAATACCAAGAGAGTTACAAATTCCTTATTTCTTTTAACAAATTCCACCTTTAACTCTTAGATTTTAAAAATGACTTTAGAGAAATATACTAGTGATCTTATTATCTTACTTATGAATTTGCTTTACAAAGTTAAAATAGATTGATACTGTTAATAGTATCTGAAAGTATAAAAACATATGTAAATTATATTCAGTAACTTCTGTAACATAAATTCTAATACTATTTTAATTTTTTTACTTTGAAATATTTTTTCAGCTACAAATATGTTATTTCTATTATAAATTATTTCAGTTATAAATCTGTGGCCTCAATTATAAGTACTACTTATTTCCATTATAAATAAAATTAAATTTTAGGACTACATATATCAAAGTTATATAAAATTGTCACTGGAAAATGCTAAGATAAAGATGTTCTAGCATTACTATATCTCTTTCATCACCAGACTTTTTATAGAAATGATTTCTAAAATAAAAAGAAAATAAATAAAAAATCATTATTATAGTATTTTTACTTCTGTTTTGTCCCTTAATTGTATAATTTTATACAGACTCCTTAACACTCCTAGGAGATTTATTTTTTGGTCAATTCTAGATAAATTCTATACAAACTATTACTACCTTTTAAAATTCAAATTTGTGAAAAGCACTACCTTAAAAAAGCTAAAGTATTAATTCTATGGAATAGTTTCTTTTTACAAGGATTGAAATCTTTTTCTACACTGAGCACACATTAAGGAGACAGATCTCTATGTTTGACACAGCAAGACATTGAAAGATGGAGAATGTCAAATGGGATCACATTTCTGAAAATAACAATAAAACCAGAAAATATATGTTTATATATGAGTATTTTTCACCCAGGGGGCGACTGGTAGGTTCCACTCACCAACCTTTCAGTTAGCAGAGGACTGTCTAACCACTGTGACACCAAGACTACTCTATGTTTTTATAAATACACTAAAAGATTTGAAAAAATGGTTATGATGACTATCTGTAAATATTTGAGGGAGATTTTATGCTACTTCTAGTCTGTGTGAATTGCCCACAGTATTTCAATATTGCTTTGGGATTACATTAAAAGGTTATTTTAAAATCATGTGACATTTCCCCTTCCTACTCCTGAAGGAAGGAGCTCTGGTAGTGTAGTGGTTATGAGTCGGGGTGCTAACCTCAAGGTCAGTAGTTAGAAACTACCGGCCATTCTGTGGGAGAAAAATGAGGTTTTCTGGTCCCATAAAGATTTCCAGCCCTGGAAACCCTATACAGGGTTGCCATGAAACGGAACCAACTCAGTGACACACCACCACCACTCCTGAAGGAGAATATTAAAAGTATGGACTGCCAAAAGAACAAACAAATCTGTGTTGGAAGAAGAACAGCCAGAGTGCTCCTTAGAAGCCAGGATGGCCAGACTTCATCTCTCATACTTTGGACATATTCCCAGGAGAGACCAGTCCCTAGAGAAGGACATCATGTTTGGTAAAGTGGAAGGCCTTGAAAACCAGCAATATCCCCATCAAAATGAATTGGCAAAGTGGCAACATCAGTGGGCTCAAGCTTGTCAGTGACGGGCTTGTCAGTGACAGTGAGGATGGCTCAGGATGGGGTAGTGTTTTGTTCTGTTGTGCATAACGTAGCTATGAGTCAAACCCAACTCAAAGGCATTTAACAACAACAACAACTGGTGTGGCACTGTAAGATAAGCTCTGGACTGCTAATCTTAAGGTTGGTGGTTTGAATCTACCAGCTGGCTCGTCTGAAACCCTATAGAGGGTTGCTCTGAGTGGGAACTGACTCAACAGTACATAACAACAATGCTTCTGATGCCTATTCCTAGTGACGTCTAGTTTCATAGGAGCAAATGGAGAGCAAAGAAAGAGCCTGAAAGACAGGTTTTGACTAATTTATTTAAGTAGTGCTTCAATTTAAAATTAGTTGAAGCAGTTTTTAATGTCAGAAAAAGGGGCCCATTCTGACTGTAAAGATTTTCCTAGAAAACAGCTCTTCCTGTTACTGCCCTGCTTGTCCTCCTTTTCCTAGTCTTTTTCCTCCACCTCAGCAACACCAAAACCCACCCAAAACCATTGTCATCAATCGATTCTGATTTATAGCAAACCTACAGGACAGAGTAGAAGTACTCCATAGGGTTTGTAAACCTGTAATCCTTAGGGAAGCAGACAGCCACATCATTCTCCCATGGAGTGACTGGTGGGTTTGAACAAACAGATCTTTCGGCTACCAGTCAAGCGCTTAACCACTGTGCCACCAGGACTCAATCAGCAATCGCGGAGCAAAACAAGAGCAGCTATGCTGACCAGCTGTTGGGAAAGAGCTCTCTATCCCAAATGCGCACTTTGTCAGTACTTTTTAAAATTCCAAAATCTGAGTCACGCTAGCTTTCCTCAAAATTATATACTACCTTCCCTCCAATCTTTCTCATGCTTTAAAAAAAAAAAAAAAAAAGGTGCATATTCTCAATACCTGGGCCCTGGTGTGACGCTGCAGCACAAGCACTGATAGGCTGGCAGGTGCAACCCACTGGTCGTTCTTGGAAACCCTATACTGGGTTGCTATAAGCTTGAACCGACTTGATGGCATACAACAACATATTCAATAACTAAGTTTAGAACTTTTGTTATACTCAATATTCAGTAACTAAGTTGATGACCTCTGGTTGTCATTGGGAGAGAAAGGAAAGTAAAGGAATAGGAAAGAAAGGAGAGCAAGGTAGAATTCGAATTCTACAGAACAAAGTTGAAATATGGTTGCCAGGAGACAAAATCAAAATTCTCAAGCTAACACAGCAAAAGAACACTCACTTAAGTCTTGGATCAACTAGAAACCAAATGCACAGATTTCCAGTGGAGAGGACGTCTATGTTGTCATGCATCCTGTCCTATTCCCATACTTAACTGGCAGACACAATAGGAAAATGGTAAATGCTAAGTAAGCACATAGTTTTGTTCCACAGAAAGTGCCCTGATTTTTTCCAATGACTATGAACATAAATGGAATCCTGGTGTGGCGCTGTGGGTTAATGCACTAGATTGCAAAGCTGATTTGAACTGTAAGGTCGGTGGTTCAAGGTCATCAGCTGCTCGTCGGAAACCCTATACAGAGTCACTACGGGTCAGAATCGACTCAACAATGGCATTTAACAACAACAAACACATGAGCATAATGGAGTCCTGGTCCACTGGACTGAAAGGTCAGTTTGAACCACAACATAGGTGGTTCAAGCTCACCAGCCACTCCTCAGAAACCCTATACAGGGTAACTATGAGTTGGAACCAACTAGATGGCACTTAATGACAACAAAACAACATGAGCATAATGGAGCATGATGGCTCTCAATGATAAGCATTGGACTGTAAAACACAAAATCAATGGCTTGAGCCCACCAGCCTCAAAGGTCACTAGGAGTTGGAAAGGACTCGATGGCACTTAACAACAGTAACAATGTCAGAGCACATCCAAAAGACTTGTCAGTTATCCTCCCTTTTCAGTCAAGGTAATACTTGTAATAAAATATAATTATTTGGAAATCATTACATTGGCAATAATGCAAGTTACTTCAATGAATGAATGCACAACATTAAATGTACTACAAAAATATTCTAAATTTGCTTTCATTTACATCTTAATTCTTCCATGCAATGTAATACTCATGGTATGAATACGACATCTGCATTGTGATACACTGATTTTGCTTTTTTATCTTGAGAATAAAACCCCAACATCTTGAAATTGTCATAGGCTTGGCTTAGAGATATGTTAAGAAATTGTCCTGGCTTTATGCCAGAAATCAAGAGAAACCAAAGATATATGAGTCTTGGTGTTGCACTTCAGGTTAATGTGCTGGACTGCAAAGTCAGTTTGAACTGCAAGGTTGGAGGTTCAAGCTCACCAGCTGCACCTCAGAAACCCCATGCAGGGTCACTATGGGTTGGAACCGACTCAACGACACTTAACAACAACATAATATATTTATGTGAATATGATATATAATATACTTGGAGTTCTAGTGTGGCACTGTAGGATAAGCACTGGACTGCTAACCCCAAGGTCAGTGGTTCAAACCCACCAGCTGCTCCTTGGAAATCCTACACAGGTTTGCTGAGTCTAAACCCACTCAATGGCACCTAACAAGAAGATACTTAGGCATAAATGTGTTTCAACTGTTGAGAGAAAACTAACTGAAATAAATCACACCTTTCTGCTATTCTTCAGATATAGTTTATAAATGGGATCAAATTCAGCTTGTGAGGTGACTTAATCACAAGTTTACTGACTGTAGCAAGCTAATTTACAAGATTAAATTTGCTTATTTAAAAAAACAAAACAGAACACTTTTTTTTTCTGAAAATGTTTATTAAAATACACCGGAAAGGCTAAAAGTGCCAAAATAGAAAATGTACCATGTTGTAATAGTAATTATTTACAATATATGTATTTTTAAATGACACTATTCAGATTAAATGCAGAAAAGAAACATCTCAATTTTAATACTTGGTATTTCCATTGATTCCATTGTTCTGCAACTGGAAAACAATTTCACATATTTAGTTTTCTATCTATTCCAGGAGATATGTGTTGAAATTTTTCTTCGCCATTAAAAACTGTGATTCTCTATGGGACCGTTTCAGCTTTGCACGCCTATTTTGGAACCAGATCTAAATTAAAGAAAAATAAAATAAGTCTCAGAAACATTTTTATGATTCTTTATATTTCAACTATCACATGTAATACCTAAATTTTAAAAGTACCTGGATTCTGTCTTCCTCTAGGTTCAGCTTTTGAGCTAAGTCTTCTCTGATATCAATGCCAGGATAGCAGTTTACGCTAAAGACATTTTCCAACACTTCAATCTGAAAATAAGGAAACAATTCTTTAAGATGTTGATATTTGTTAATGTTACTACAAAATGTGCTTTAATTAGTTTAACAAGATATTTGCCTTAAAATCCTTGGCAATCAATCTGTGTACTTTTTCCTCTATAAACTGTTTTAAAAAACAATAGTCTACTGTTTCATTGGAGTCCTGGTGTGGTGCTGCAGGTTGATGCACTGGATTGCAAGGTCAGTTTGAACTGCAAGGCCAGTGATTCAAACTCACCAGCCACTCTTCAGAAACCCTATATATAGAGTCACTATGAGTTGGAACCTACTCTACAGCACTTACTAACAACAACAACAACTGTTTCATTAATAAACCTTCTAAACTGAGATCCCCATGCAACAGAGTGTTAGTTAAAATCTTTTACTGGTTGAAAAACTTCCCACCTGATTTTGAGTAAAAGCAGTTCTTGGTCTTCGGCCTCTATACCAACTCAATTCTCTTTTCAAAGAAAGCCTTTCTGAGGGTGAAAAGTAGTTTTCATACTGCAATATTTTTTCTTCTGGCATTGGGTGATCCACAGTACCAGGGAATGAGATCTCACTGGGAAAGCTCGTAACCTGTAGACATAGGTTATCATCTTTCCCTAGAGACAGAAAAATATGCCTTGTTTTAGATGTCTCAATTTATTCTCCGCTAAATTCTAAAGGTAGTAATTTCAGGAACTTGTGTTTAACTTTCCCAGTGAAATGCTTCTGGGTTTTATAAAAGAACTGATTCCTCATTAACCAAAACAAACAAACAAACGAAAAATAAAAACGAAGATCTTGCTTTGGTGATAGAGAAAATTTTGGTTTCTGACTGCCATTTATTTTTTGGCAAAAACAGTCACATATCAAAGACACACAGAGCAAAGCAAATTGCAGGTTCTTGGCTTCTTTTTGGGGGGATGGGGGAGTGAATGAACTTTATACCTACTTGGCTCTAAGGCTGATATTCTTTTTATTTCCCTTAAGGCATATCATTAGAGGCATTAATCAATCCTAGATGTCTCAGCTGTGTAACTAAATGAAACTGCAGTTTCTAACTGTATGTAGTATGAAATTAAAAACAATTAAATTAAACACTGAGACTGAAATGACTAAGAATCTAAAAAAATTAAGTTGTGGAGAAAAAAATTAAATTGTGGCATACCTGAGTTGCTGCAGGTGTCTGCCCAGGGCCTGTGAGGTTTCACTGATGGCACACAGTCTTTCTTCTGGTCCAGTCCTAAGATGCTCTCAATTGAAAAGGAGGAAAGTGAGGGTTTACATTCTCCAAGCTGAGCGCCTTCTTGCAGGCTGGGAGACATCCTCGCGTGGGCGGTGCAGAGCGTCTCCTGGAGCTTCTCCCAGTCTCGGCTACCTCTGCCCCACGTGCACAGAGCTGGGCTTTCCTGCAGTTCACCTTATAGCTCCGTAGACAAGGGGGCAGGATTTAGAGCGTCACTAATTAAAATCCTGTCTTAGGAAGTTTTAGCATGTCAATGAACACTCTACCACCCAGCAGCTAGAGGAGTTAATTGTTTATTTGTTTGCAAGTAATTAGCAACTAATGGCTACACCAGGGGGCCACCTACAGGGACAAAAAGTGTTATCTCTCCTAAGCAGAACACAGATTTAACTTTCTGAAAAGAAGTCATGCACAAATGTAGCACTCCTCTTTTATTGGGAATCATTAATGTATAAAATCATGCTTTTTATTCTCAAGTCTATACTTTCATGGGCTCCAGTTACCTAACCAGACAGGCTACATAGGAGAGCAGTCAAGTAATAAATAATCTAATTTTAAGTGAATTTCTTCCAATGAAATTGGGAAAAATAATAATCTCTTAATGCTATTACGGTAATTCGGAAGAAAATGCCTGTTTTTCATATGCATATGTAATAGTGAATGTTGTCAATGACAACACAATAGTATTTGGAGTGCAGCATACTGGAAAAGGTTGGCAAGGTTATAAAAACTGAGTATAATTTTCTTCCAAGTGCCTGGATTAATTCATAGCAACAGTTGTACCAAGTATTTTAAATAATTAATGGGCTAATTCCCTTCTTCCATCTTTTCTTTTAAAAATGAGAGAGACACAGTTTATATGAAAATTCACAAGCAACCACCTCTTGTTATAAGTGTGGGCCAGTCGATTCCGACTCGACTCATAGAGACCCCCATATAGGGTTTAAGCAATTTATAAACATGACCATTCAAGCAAACAACACTATTTCTCCCCTCACCATAGATGTTTCAAAGAAAAGGACGTATTTTACAGCAGTTTAAAAAAAAAAAAAAATTCCCTGTTTTGGTCTTTTAAGGGATTTTGAGTTTTTCTCCAACACAATGAGGCTTGTGACAACCAAGAACATTATATTTTGATTTCATAATCCTAATAAACCAGAAGTTAAAAGAGACACAGAGCTGCTGATTGGGAAGATTTTTTAAGTGGTGGCTCACCAAGAAAGGTAAAACTTCTAGCTCTTGTAATCTGCTGCTTCTCTTCTTCTAGTACCTCTTTTTTTATTTTATTTTTTAACTGATAAGCATAGTTTATTTTTAAATGATATTATAAAATCACTTCCTTCCAATTGGTGTTTCTCTTTTAGTACCTTCTTGAAGATAAATTTCAGTATCTAGCATTAAAATGGCTACCAGCCTTTTCTCCAGGGAAGAGGGAAAGTAATTTCCATTCATAAAGGAAATAGTTGATATAGGTTGGAGATTAATTTCACATCTTATCATGACATCACAAATATTAAGCTAAGCTAGCCACCTTATGTAAACCCTACGATAAACAAGGTTTGGGTCTTTCACCTTGAGAACTGGGCAAGTGTACTGATGATAAATGAAGAGGAAACTGAAGGTGTCAACAATGTCATTGTACCTGGGTCAACAAGCAATATCTATGGATATCTTTCTATCTATTAGGTGTCATGGAGTGGATTCTGACATATGGTGACCCTGTACACAACAAAACAAACACTGCCTGGTCCTGTGCCACCCTCACAATTGTTATGTTTGAGGCCAGGGTTGCTGCCACAGTATCAATCTATCTTATTGAGGGTCTTCTTCTTTATCACTGAACCTCCACAGTTTTAAGCATGATGCCCTTCTCCAGGGACTGGTCCTTCCTGACAAAATGTCCAAAGTACCAGAGGCAAACCCTCAACATCCTCACTTCTAAGGAGCATTCTGACTGTGCTTCTTTTCGGTGACAGATTCGTTTTTCTAGCAGTCCACGGTATTTTCAATATTCTTTACCAACAACATAATTCAAATGTATCCATTCTTCAATGTCCTCCTTATTCACTGTCCAGCTTTCACATACATATGAAGTGACTGAAGATACCATGGCTTGGGTCAGGCACACCTTAGTCCTCAAAGTGACACCTTTGCTCTTTAACACTTTAAAGAGATACTGAGCACCAATTCTGCCCAATGCAATATAGGCCATTCAATTTTTTTTTTTTTTTTAACTTTTTATTGTGAGTTGAGTGAAGGTTTACAGAGCAGTTAATCAGTTTTACATTCAACAAATCATGTCTTGTGCTTCATTACAATGATTGCAATTCCCTCCATGTACCATCAGTTATATTCTTACTTTAACTCTTGCAGTCCTCCATGTTTCCTGCTACCTTCGTCTTTCCTATGCCAAACTCCCTCTTGTTGTACATTGTCTGCCCCATCACCCTGTTAGCATGTATTTACCTTCTAGCCCATGAATAAGTTTCCCTCCTGCCTCCTGTCCTGGAAACCATCATAGAATGTTTCTTTTTGCAATAAAATCTTTCACTAACTCTTTATAACAGTGCTCATACAATATTTGTCCTTTTGTGATTGACTCATGCCACTCAGTATAAAGTCTTCCAAGTTCATTTGTGTTGTAAGGTGCTTTGCAGATTCACCATTATTCTTCAACATGGCATGGTGGTGGTAAGTGGTGGTATACTGTCGAGTCGGTTCTAACCCACAGTGACTTTGTTTCTGAGGCTATAAATCTTTATGGGAGCATAAAGCCTCATCTTTCTCCTGTGGAGTGGCTGGTAGATTTGAACTGCTAACCTTTAAGTTAGCAGCACATTATATAACCACTACACTATTACTGTTCCTTTCAACATTGCATAATATTCCTTATGTGCATGTACCAATGTTTAACAATTCTTCTGTTGATGGGCAAAACAAGGCTGTCTCCATCTTTTTGATGTGTCTCTTGTAGACAGCATATTGTTTTCTTATCCGTTCTACTACTCGCTATCTTTTGACTGGTGCGTTTAATCCATTTACATTCAGTGTTATTATTGATCTGTATTATTATTAATAGAATTGCTTGTTTTCATTTTGCTGTGTGTTTTTTCATGGTGCTGCTGGTTTCGTTGTTCCACATAATTTTCTGTGATGAGTTCATTTTGTTTGTGGCTTTTCTTTTCATTTCTGTCGTGTTAATATTTATCAACTCGTTCTGATATCCCTCTTTTTATTTTGATGTGAAAGTGTACTAATTTTCTTTGAGGTTATGCCGTAAGTTATTAAACCCCCCTCCCACCCATCTAAAACAGTCTGTTTTATTTTGAAATCTACTTGACTTGTCATTTAGAATTTCTGGGTCTACACTATTCCCTCTTTTTGCTTTGTAGTTGACTTCATTATAAATTGACATCTCTGGTTCCCTATGTTCAGTCTTGTAAGCCTGTTTCACTTAAATACTAAATCTGGATTGAAGGAGTCCTGGTAGCATAGTGGATTATGAGCTGGGTAGCTAACTTCAAGGTCAGCAGTTCAAATCTACCAGTTGCTTCATGGGAGAAAGATGAGGCTTAAGGCTCCCATAAAGATTTGTAGCCTTGGAAACCCATACAGAGTCACTATGATGTGGAACCAACTTGATGGCACAAAAACACCATCAATACCACCACCATATCTGGATTGAGTTCTGGGTGATGTTGTCATGTATGATAATTTCATGTTGTTTTCTGCTGTTATTGGTTCCCACTTCAAAAAAAATAGCTTTTAGTATTTTTTATAAAGTTGGTCTGGTTATTACAAATTCCTTTAATTTGTGTTTATATGGAAATCTCCTAATTTCACCATTGTATATAAAGGACAGCTGTGCTGGGTATATGATTCTTGGATAGTAATTTTTTTCTTTCAAAAATTTTGTATATGTCTACCCATCGCCTTCTGACTTGCATGGTTTCTCCAAGAAATCATAGTTTAGTCTTACTGGTTTTCATTTGAGCTGCTCTCAGAATTATTTTCTGGTCCTTGGTTTTATAAAGTTAGATTATGATAGTCTTGGTGATTTTCATTTGGGATTTATTCAGTTTGAAGTTCATTCAGATTTTTGGATGCTTATCTTTTTGTTTTTCATAATTGTTTGGTAAATTTTATTTCAACAAATCTCCAACAATTTTCTCTGTGCTTTTTATTGTCTCTTCCTGTTCTGGAATTTCAGTCGCTCATAAGCTATTCTTCTTCATGGTATCCTACATAACTTTTAAGCTTTCTTTAGATTGTTTCATACTGTTCTTCTAGCATATTAGTATTGAGAGATTGATATTCATATTCATTAATTCAGTCTTCTGTTGCTTCAAATGTATTCCTTTTCCTTTCAATGTATTGTCCATTTCTGAAATCTAAGTATTAATTTTCTGGATTTCTAATGGCATGTTTTGTATTATTTCAAATTTTGCATTTGTTATTTCTGTTGGTTCTTAAAGCATTTTCCTGAATTCTTCTAAAGTCTTTTCTATGTTCTCCTTACTTTCCTAGACAATTCTGTCAATCCTTTAAAGGTATTTAAGTAACAATCTTTTGAACCCTTTCTCAGTTAGTTCCATTACCTTTTTTTTTTCTCAGAAGCGTTTTCTGACTCTGCATTTTGGTCATTTGTTAGAGTAATTCACTCTTGTTTCTTCATGTGAGCTACAATTGTCTGTTGTCTCTTGAGCATTGTCGGGTTGTCATGTTTGTATTTAATTGATGATTGTATATTGATGTGCTTTTAGGTTTTTACCAACTGTATTCTGTGGATGAAGTTAGAGAGCAGAAGTGTGTGCACCATTTTCCAAAAGTTTGCCATTCTTGTACAATGGTAGGTTTGTCTGTTGATCAGGTGGTATAGGAGCTGGTACTGACGCTTGTCCAGTGGGTGGAGCTTCAGAGGGTATAATTGCAGCTGGGCTCTATAATTGCTGTCTCCTGTTGGGTGAGAAAGATGAAAATCCCAACCTGCCCCAACCCCCACACACAGAAGAAAACAAAACAGAATAAACAAACAAGTAGCCAATAAAGAAAAGAGAAAACAATAAAGGAGAAAAAAACAAATGAAAACAAGTTTGTTGTTGTTATGTGCTGCGGAGTCGATTCTGACTCATAGCAACCCTGTACAGGGTTT